AAAACATAGTAGAAATTCCTTTTTAAGTAAAGTACAACCTCAAACGATTTAAGGAAACTTTAGTTGAGAAATCAATTGAGTTAAATGTAATAATTCTTTAAATTTGAAGTATTGAATATATTAAAAAAATAAGGCGAGGTATTGTAAACACTATGGATTCCAACACAAAGGATCACAACAGTAAAGGGATCTAAGCAGTTAATACACTTGAATTGTTAATAACAAGTAAACACAACAAACAGAAAGTGCATGGCATCACCCTTCATGTTTTAACACTCTCTCATCAAAACTATACACGGCATCACCCTTCGTGCTTTAACGCTCTCTCACTAAAACAATACATGGCATCACCCTTCGTGCTTTACACTCTTCCTCACCCAAGCAACAAACACAAGGCAAATAGGGTAAGGTAATCTATAACATCGAAATAAAATCAAATAATAACGGAAAATTAGTAAATAAACGTACATGACAACATAACTCAATTAGAATCAGAAAAAATTAAGGACAAGTGCACGGCATCACCCTTCGTGCTTTTACTCTCGTCCTCACTATAAGAATCAATATAAACTACACGGCATCACCCTTCGTGCTTTACACTCTTCCTCACCATAAAATCAATATAATCGGCACGGAATTGTACATCGTGCGGCACGGCATCACCCTTCGTGCTTTACACTCTTCCTCACAAAATTATATACGGCATCACCCTTCGTGTTTTAACACTCTTCCTCACCCAAACAACAATCACAAGAAATAAGGGCAAGGAAATAAATGAAATCACAATAAAATTCCGGTAAGGGGACAATAGTACAACAATCAAATAAACGGCAAGGGAAACAACATCAAAACAATAACATCCCGGCAAGGGAGACAATAATATCAAACAAACATCTCGGCAAGGGAACAATAATATCAAACAAACATCCCGGCAAGGGAACAATAATAATAATAACATATGAAGCGCAATAAACCACAACGGAGTCATAACAATTATAATATAAGACTCACGGGCATGCTTGACACCAACATATAGATACTCCTCACCATGACTATACATCGTACTCCACAATTAACATGTAGCAAATAAGACACAACTCATATTCCCTCAAGCTAAGGTTAGACCAAACACTTACCTCGCTTTGCAACCAATTCAAAATTCCAACAAGCCTTTGCCTCGCGAATTCGTGCCCGAAATTCCCAAATCTAGTCATAAACAATTCGATTCAGTCATAAAAATTATAGGAATTAATTCTATATGAAATTCTACATTTTCCATTAAAAATCGAAATTGCACTAAAATCCGCCCGTGGGGCCCACGTCTCGGAACCCGACAAAAATTACGGAATATGAAACCTCATCCAACCACGAGTCCTACCATACCAATTTTACTAAAATCCGACATCAACTCGACCCTCAAATCTTCAAATTAAACCAAGAGGGTTTTCAAGATTTTCCCAATTAAAATCACCAATTAAATGCCAAAAGTAGTAATAGATTCGGGTAATCTAACCAAAATAAAATTAAGAACACTTACCCTGTTGTTTTCTCTGAAAATCTCCCGAAAATCGCCTCTTCCCGAGCTCCAATTCGCTAAAAATGAAAAAAATTCAAAACTTAATGTTCTGTCCAGAAAAATTCCGGGTACTGTTCACGCGTTCACACTGTTCACGGGGGTACTGTTCACGGCACTGTTCATGGGGGTACTGTACATGGTAATGTTCGGGGTACTGTACACGGTACTATTCACGGGGTACTGTACATGGTACTGTTCACGGGGCACTGTACATGATGCTGTAAAAAAAAGACAGCAGCTTCCCAAAGAGAATTTCAGCAGCTTTTTCTACCCGTTGACCTTCCGAAATCCACCCGAGGCCCTCAGGACTTCAACAAAATACACCAACAA